ACCATTTACAGTAATTTTGGGGAAAAAAGTTTTGGTTTATTGGCGTTAATTAAATTTACATGGACTATTTATAAACTTAAGAAACAATTTACTTAGACCACAAAATAAATATAAAAATTCGAAAGCTTTAGAGAGAAAATAAGAAGCAGGGCATCTTACTCTTTCAAAATTGCGATCAGATTATTGTCCGAGTCGACGAGCGCGACCCTGGTCGACTCGCCGATCAGGCGTTTCTGCGCATCGTCGATGGCCAAAACGATCGGCACCGACATGTTCACTACCGACCCGTCTTCGAGTCGGAGTGAATTGAAATGAAGCGTTTGGAGGAACTCCGATTCTCTCATGAACCCACGGAGAGGGCTGGACCAGCCTTCGCTGATCACATGAACCCATTGAAGGTCGATCCTTGAAAGTTTGACTCTGGGCAAGGATGCCGCCTCCCTCTTCTTCTCGCCCTTCTTCGACTCCTCGACGAAGAGCTCGACCAGCTTCCCGCCATCGGGCTCAATCAACGCGTTGGAAATTCGGAGCCTTCGGCGGGTCCTGGGCTTGGAACCGAGAGGGATTGATAGCCTAAGGGCCGGGGAGAAATGGGTATTGAACGTTTTGGGGAAAGAGGGAGAAGGGGATGGTGTTTTGATGAAGTAGGTGGCCATGGACGCCATTGAAGAGGTGAACCAAGGCCTGGGTTTTTTTTTTTTTTTTTTGCTCTGGCTGTGCTTCAAACCTCAAAGTAGGAGATTTAATTTAGAGGTTTAATAAGTTTGTAATAATGGAGTGTTTGTGCGTGTGATTAAAGTTTGGTATATTTTTTTGTGAATTAAAAATATGAATGAATGAAAGTGTAATTTGACAGGTAGGGACAAAAGGAAATCTTATCAAATTCAGAAATGGTGCAATTTGAGTTGGAAAGCATGACAGATTTCATGCTTGGGTCTTAATTTATAGGGACTTGATTAGGTACTAATCTAATCACGGGCTTAAGCAGAGGATGAACCTAGACACTTTTTTGGGAAGTTGCATTTCCTAGCAGTTTCGGACGCAGATCGTAACTGGTGAGCACCATAAATTCTTTTTCTTTTCTTTTCTATCCATTTCTTTTTAGCATTTTCAATTTGGATCCTCTGTTTGGCTTGACTATCCTTTTATTTTTAATTCAAATTATCCATGCAAGTGCAATATATTGGATAAAAATTAGATTAGCAAAAGGAGTTGGTTGAAATAATAAATTTGGAAAGAAAAATTAAAAATATGACTACACTTGACAATTTCGTATATTAAGAGTTAATTACTCATTCACTCCCCAAGTGGGAACAAATTGTAATGCTAAACATCAACCTTTGCATTGTGGCATGACATTGGCAAATGCCAATAATTTTTATATATATTAGTAACGCTACGTGACATGCCTTTGTTCATCGTACTAATTCACTCAAATTATAAGCTACGTGACATGTCTTCATTCATCGTACTAATTCACTCAAATTATAATATACGGTGACATCAGATTCATACTTTTAAATATAATATTAATAAAATTCCAAATATATATATATATATATATATATAATAAAAGCAAAACCCAAATCTTTCTCAAGGTATATTATAACCTGCAAACCTTAACCCATTTACAATTAAATACATCAAATTGATTGTCGTCCTACGAACAGTTACTGTTTTCAATTTCATTTTTTTAAGATGTTATGATATAAATTAACGTTTTTGGATTCAAATAGACAGAAGTGCCAATCTCAATGCCGCCTATAAATTTATTTTTTTGCCATGGGATGTTGTCGATTGTCTGACATATGGGCTTTAGTAATGCCATGATACTTGCATCTTCCATGAACTTGCTTATTTTGAATTCAAAGAAAGCGATCCCTCCCTGTCTGCCTATCAAGCTTTGAACATGGCCCGTTTCAAGGCCACGTTCATTTGCACCTCATGGAGAAGTGTTAAAGACACATTTTTCTTCCTCGTCCTTTCGTTTTCTTTCTCAATCTTGGATTCAATTATTTTCTATTTCCTATGACTGGCCATCCCATCTGTTAAGCAATGCAAGTACTTTTCAACCATGACAAATTTAAACCGAAGAGGTTTTACCCTTAACAAAAGTATTTTCTCATACAGATCATATTACCAGTGAAGGCGAAAACTCATCTATACAAATAGAGTTTGACTTGTATCTGATAGAGACGTGGTTTTCAATATGATCTAATTGGTAACATTTTACTCTTAATTAGGAGGAAAAGAAAGAGACGTCACACTAATGATCACGTAACAAATGGCATGCAACAATCGTTATTTATCTACAAAATGATTTTAAAACTAATTAAGGTGTGTCACCCTCCAATTGACCAGAAAAGTATTCAATATCGTCAACTCAACCTTTGTTTTTTTGTCTGATTGGCGGACCATCTGAGTTAATGGATTACGTGATATTTACCAAAACTATTACTTAATCAAAAGTTCAGTTCAATAACACTTTAACACGTAAAAGAACTCAATGGACACTTGTTGGATCAATACCAAGTTATATCCCACATACGTTTTCAATATAGATACGGATGAATTTGTTAAGATTTGATAAGGACAGACTCTTGGCCCACTATTAGCAATATTGATATTGTTTTTAATTTAATCATTTGTTTAATGGATGTGGGGTTTTATATAAAACTCTTGATGTTATTAGGAGGTTTTTTTTTAATTTTATGAAAATGTTATTAGGAGTTGAGCCATTTATTTTATGGGACTTACTATTTTGTTAAGTTTCCGATGTGGGACTTACTGCTCTAGACGCTTGGCCTAACCCACATCAGCTAGATTTCAGTTATTAAGATAATCAATTATGCCTACAATTTTTCTCTTCAAATTTGACCTAAGATTTGTGACATATCCAATAAGTTGGCTCATATATATAAGAAAAAGTTGAAGTATGTTAAGCAAAAAGGCCTCTTCTGGGTTTGTGGTTGATGCCGTTTGGGCCTTTCCCAGTTTCTCTCTCTTTCTCTCTTCCGAAAGCCATCCAACTCGTAAACCCCACTCATTTCAACAATGTCAACCATAAATAAAACCTTCCCAAAAATGCTTAAACAGGATTCTTTTTTGTGCTTGAAAGAGTGGCTTCCATATTAAAACTGTTTTAAAAGTGGTTTTCAAGCCGAGATTGTCCACTTTCAGGTCATAGCCGAGAGAGAGAGAGAGAGTAGCAGCCCAAGTTCTGAAGACAGTGAGCCCATTAATAAAGAAAACCCAATCAATCAATCTCTTTAGCATCAACAGCAGCCCACTTATTCCTCTAAACTGGACCTTCATTTTCAATGTCAAAAAAGAGGAGATAAACATGTGAATCATTGGAGTTTGGTTGTACCATAAAGTTACTTAACATGCATTACATGCTTAAGTTCAGTTTGTAGCATTTGAATGGATACTCGTACAATTTAGGAATCTTTAGAATTCCAGCAATTTGTCGAGGACAAGACTTCAATAAATAGGACGAAATTATGACAGGCATTCGTTTACTTTTGTTGGTCAGTCCGCGAATTATGTGGCTTGTAACTTAGTACGTTTTGCTTTATTATCACGACTAGAAGTGAGGACTCAGGAGTGTGTAGTATGAGGTTGCTCCTGATAGCATACATGATGCCTTAATTGATGATGCTTTGTAATGTGCTCCATACTTGAGTTTACTTTTGGTTGGCAATTAAGACGTAATCATGTTTCTTCTTAAACCGGATAAATATGTGACTTTAGATAGATACTTTCCTTATTATAAAAGGTATATATCTTTAATCAGCCATACAAAGCTGCATAATTAGAGTTATTAATTGCTTAAATTCAAGGTTTGGATTGAACGCAAAGGGACAAAAAATTGAGTACATTTAACACACCAAAAAGCAAACTATGAAAGGATTATGCTTGGCACTGCCAGGAGGAACATATATATCACATTATAAATACCAGTCAAACAAAGCCAAAAGGATAATGTTTGGTCATACTCTCTCTCTCTCTCTCTCTCTCTCTCTCTCTCTCTCTCACTATATATATGTGCTCTGTTGGTCCCAACAACCAAAACCTTTTGTCATCTCCAAGAAAGAAAAAAAAAGAAGAAAAGCAAAAAGCCCTTTTGGAGTTTCATGCACTTTTGAAGAAAATGATGTTACAATCTTTTCTTTTCTCTTGGTTCCTCCATGATTGAGGCTTAAGCAAGCCAAAGGCATATTCACAAAACCCTACTTCCATTCCAACTTCAAAAGAATATTCATAATTTCGCTTTCAATTTGATTATGCACCTTATTCAATCACAAAATTAGGGTCGGCTTGGCCTGGAAGCCCATCGCACTGTACGAATGGGCCCCAACTCAGATATTCATGGGCCCCCTGGACTTTCAAAGCTTTGTGGGGTTCAATAAGACACCTAAAAGACAAGGTTCAATTTTTTTTTTTTTAATTCCCTTGTCGGGTTTTTTTTTGTGTGACGAAATTGCCCTTAGTGCTTTTTAAAATTTTGACAGTGAACTGATAAAAGTGTAGGGGTATAGGACTGGGCTGGGAGGGTGATGATTAAAGGGTAATGTGAAAGTACTTTGTGTGTGTGTGTGTTTTTTTTTTTTTTTTTGAGTTCTGACAGTTTTGCTTTTGGGTGGATGATGAAAGTTTATGTGCCTTTTAATGCCGACATGTGTGTTATTGTTCAAAGCAGGGAAAAGGTGAAGTGTACAGACGAGAGTGCCATTGCCATTGAGATGAAAAATGACAAAAATTCTCCAGGCTTAATGTTTAGCAAATTTTTGATAAGAAAACAGCATCCAGCCCACATGGCAGGTAATTCAAGAAAGAAAAAAAATATATTTCATTTCTAACTCATTATTTATACAATGTCTCACAATGTTATTATATACATACATATAAATTTGTAGTTTACGTCACACTTTCGTATTATTTAAGAGCAGTGTTTGGGACAATCAGTCACGCACAAACGGGTGACTCTACTAATGCATTGTGGGGGATTTGATGCATTGTAGGATAGCTAGAGGCACTCATGAGTTACTTAAAGGATTCTTTCTTTAGTCCCCTTTTTTTCTTTTGCTATGATTCTTCATTTTTCATGATGGAAGGTGGTAGTACCATTGGCATGATGACAATGGCCTAATAAATCATGAGGGTCTTTAGGAATTATGTGAATGGATTCCAATTTGTATTCTCAGAGGGCCTACTTAAATTCTGTAGTTTGATTCTTTGAACACACATTTTGCTAATTACTAGAATCTTTTGGGTGATTTGCCAATGTGGACCAAGGCAAACCCCAATGAAGAGCTTTTAGGTTGGAGCTCAATTGCCTTGAGGGTTAACCACAATGCCACATTATGAATCAACTGCATATTATAGTGCCTAGTGGCCACCACCACATTATGAGCTTTTAGGTTTTTCTTTTCGGTCAAATTATGAGCTTTTTATTTATTTATATAAAAGCGATATACTATAAATTAATTTAATCTATAAAAAGGGGAATTTAAACTTAAATTTAAGGAGATAAGATTATTACCCCCATCAACTGGTGTAACCCACATATATAATTATGAGTTGAGCTCATTTGTTTTTTTTTGGGGGGTCGGATTGAAGCTCAATTGTTCTGCTTTCAACAATTTTATCATCAACCCATCAGTATTGGACAATTTTGACTGGAGCCCACATGCCTTTCTAGGAATGTGCAGTTGTAGTGGACGTCTGCATAGCACTGATTGAGATTTGGCAAAATTGGTGACCTTAGCCCTAGGTTAATGTGGCCATGGCATTGCACTTTTTTCACCCAAGGAGGGGCAAAGCTTTGTGTGACAGCTGCAGTTTTTGTAGCTTGTTCTAAGGGAAATCTGACAGTACCAATTGGCAAAGATTTTTCCACCTTGGCAATAGCAGCAGTCTCGC